GGCCAGACCTCACTTATGGGATACAGCAATTGAGCCAATTTGTTAACTCTCCTTATCAGATTCACTGGGAGACCGCGATGCATTTGCTAAAGTACTTAAAAGGTTGCCCTTCTAAAGGCCTCTTCTTTCCTGTTCAGCAAGAATTTTCTTTGACGGCCTCTTCTGATGCGGATTGGGCGTCCTGTGCTGATACTCGTCGATCTCTTACTGGTTTTTGCATATTCTTAGGCCCTGCCTTAATCTCTTGGAAGACAAAAAAGCAGAGTACAGTCTCTAGATCCACAACAGAAGCAAAATATAGGAGTTTGGCTGCTACGGTTTGTGAGCTTCAGTGGATTGGCTACATTCTTGCAGATTTTAAAATCACCCTGCCTTTATCGGTTCCTTTATGGTGTGATAATAAGGCTGCTCTTCACATTACAGCGAATCCGGTATTTCACGAGCGTACCAAGCATTTGGAAATTGATTGTCACATTGTGCGGGATAAGTTCAAAGAAGGTTTTGTCTTTCCTTCACATGTTTCCTCTTCTCAGCAACTTGCAGATGTTTTTACGAAGGCTTTACCGTTTTCTTAATTTCAGTTTCTTGTCTCCAAGCTGGGTTTGGCAGATATTCACCACGTTCCAGCTTGAGGGGGGATGAAGAATTATTCTTTATTCCCTTTTTCTCTTTCCTTCACACGTTTTTTATTCCTTCTGTTAGTTAATTTCCGTTAGGACATGTGTCCACCTATCATTGGCCACTACTTCATATATATGTTTTGAACCTTTACATTTCAAATTGATTGAATGAAATAAATTGATTAGAAAACTGCAACACGATTTTTAGCTGCACAAATCTTCCTTTTCAAATTAAACAATCACCTACACAATATGTTTAGGAAGTGGTGGATAGCTCTTGAGATAGCGTTTTGATTCTTAATCGACGAAAAGTACGTGTAATAAAGAAACTTTTAACTTTGTACATGAATATCAATGCCAAATGTTGTGGTTATAAATACTACTAGAGTATTTATCTGAAGTCGAGTTTCTCATGGGTCATTACTTAGAATAAGGTGAATCTCTTTCCATCCACTACCTTGGCTCCAACGCTATATCTCGTTGCTCATATTGGAATCGGTCCTTAACTCGGACACGATATCAAGAAATAAATTCACAACATAAGTAATGGAAGAAAATAGAAGATTTGATACGGTAATGTAGACCATAGATGAGTTTGGATTGTTAATGCAATAAGAGTTAGTATTTAACAATGTCCACGTGAAAACTTAAATGGTTATCGGTAAAAAAAAAAAAAAAACTTATTTTATTTAACTCGTGTATTTTCGGTGTTATCAATCATTAAACTCAAACAGCAAATACAATTCCAAAAACACAATAAAATAGCAATAGGACTGGAAAAAACAATATACAATAGTAAAAAGGGAAAAGGGAAAATATTGCATAAAAATTCAGAAAAAATACATAAATCTTATTTCTTCTCCCAAGGCCTAATGGAGAGAATAATAATCAAGATGATAACCAACAAAAGAATGATTCCGAAACAAGCCCATTTCCTAGAATTCT